GAAGGGTCAGAGTGCCATGCTAATGGACCATTGGCAGATTGCCTATCTTTTTGCTATCAAGCTGTAAGGTCTAGTAGTATATAATTGGTCTCTTAACTCCTTTTAGATATGAAGAAGCCAAGGCAAACGGTGTTGATAACTATGACAGAGAATTGGAAGATGCCATGGATAGACTCATTGTTGAGTGTGATAGGAAAATTGGCAGAGCCCTAAAGCATCTTGAAGATGAGGATGCAAAAGCTGCTATTGCAATATCAGTTTCTGAGGTTACACAGGTGAGGCCAAATAAGTTAATGCACTTTCATTAGTTTTATCCCATGAAGTACGGACATGGGGGAAAACCTTTGTGTACCAGTGTCATACCAGTGTCCGACATGGACACGCCACTGTCACAGCAGAATATGTAGGGTATACACTCAAAAAGGGCAAAAAAATAAAATTGGATACAGTCAAGACGGTGATGTCACGCCTAGACACAGTGAAACAACAAAAAAAAAAATGGAAATTATAAAATAAGAAAAGCATTATCATCCAGGGAAGCAAGACAAAACACCAAAAACCAAAAAAAAAAGAAAGAAATAGAGAGAGAAAACCTAGGGTTATGGGTTTAGGTAGTTTTAGGGAGATTCAGAGCTTGAAAATTGGTGGAAAGGAAGGTTATGGAGAAGGGAGTTTTTTTTGAGTTCAAAGTTGTGGTGAAAACCTAGGGTTTTAGGTTTAGGTAGTTTTAAGGAGATTTCAAGCATGAAAATTGGAGGAAAGGAAGTTTATGGAGAAGGGATTTTTTTGGAGTTTAAAGCTGCAGTTTTTGGTTTTAGATTTAGGCTTTTAGGGGTTGTTTTTGAAAATCCATTTGGATAGGAAGAAAGAGGAGGACGAAAGGTGTTTTTGGGTAACTTTTGGTGGAATTTTGGCACTGGCGGATGGCGACCACCTGAATCTGGATTTAAGGGGGTTGCTGGTGGAATTTTAGGGAGAAGGAAGAGAAAGATAAGCTAGAGAGAGAAAATTCTTTATACATAGGAGGGGAGGGAAAATGAAAGAAAAAATGGTTTTTATAGTGCACCAATCGGTAGATTTAGGTGAGGCGGGAAGGAAGAAAGAAAAAGAGAAGAAAAAGAAAGATGAAGAAGGAAGGAAAAAAAGAAGAAAAAAGGGGACGGAAAGAAAACAAGAAAAAAAAGAAAAGAAGGAAAAAGGACATGAGGTGTTAAATAATTAAGATAGTAATTATCTTATTTACCTCTACATAGGTTTTATTTATCTCAAATTTGTTGGTTCCTAATTGTCATGAGTAAAATTGTAGTATTTGTATCCAAAATTTACCTTGGTGCTTTATCATTCCATAATTATTTCAGTGGCAAATTTGTAAAAAAATGTAGTCAAAAGAGTGATAGATTATATACATTTAATGCAATCTGTATTTTCGTATAAATTATATATTTTAAATTTATATTAATTAATAAAAAGTATCTATATTTACAATTTAAATTAAATATTTTAAACAAAATATATATAAAAAATATTTTTTATTGTCATGTCTTGCTGTAACAGTGTTTTCATTTTTTAGAAATTGCCGTGTCATCTATGTTCTAATGTACCCATATTGCATTTCAGTGTCTGTGCTTCATAGGTTTTATCTAATGTTATGTTTTCTTCTTATTTGAATTTTGAAAAATTTGACATTGCAGACACCTGAAGTACTTGAGCTGTTGAAGCAGATGAAGAAGAAACTGAAAGAAGCTGACCAACATGGTGCATTTGAGCTGGCATATGAATTATTTCAGAATTAAGGCATTGTTGTTTTGAGCGCTTTAACTTTCTGCAGATTGAATTTGAAGACAGCTTATCAAGCAGCAGAACATTTCTGTATTACGATTGGGAACTTATTGCTTAACCATCATGACTTAAATTCACTTGAAATTGCTCAATTTGTGACCCTAGGTAAGAATTTATTTCATTTGTATTATTATGTTTCATTTGCTTCCGCATTCATATCCTTGCAGTCAATAGGAGGCCAACTTACTGTATCGTTCTAAGAAATCATGTTTTCTTCTTCTTAGGAATTCATCTGAGGTGTCATCCAATTGATTATTGTGGAGATTTAGTTGAATGATTTAATAGGTTTCATGTAAGAGGCTGAACTGTTTTTGTAGTTGGAATTCATTCTTCCCCTATGTTATAGCTCTAAGTAGCTTTTAGTGACTAGTAGATGGGATGAAGTAACAATCATGTTTAAGGTTGCGCCTAGATGGGGATGATATGGATGGACACTTTAGGTTTAAATGCTTACGGATGAATTAGGAAAAAGGTTCAAAGTTTTTTTTATTTGTATTAGCCTAGATATCTGGTAAATCATCTAGACACATTTATAGGTTGTAATAGTTATGAAAGTCTTCTTTTGTTAAAGATGATAAACATATTAAACCTTGAATGTTTCTAATGTGTTTAGTCAATACACTCGAAATTTTCTAGTAAAATATATTGAAAATTTGTGTGTTTTTGTTGTTTCTGAAAAAGGAGTGTGAACTACCATTGCATTTGTTTGCTTAAAATTTTTATAGGCTCATTTCTTAGTCATTGTCTGCACTTTTTCTATAATTACTGATTATAAATGGTTGCTTACAAACCTTTTATAAAATTTACACTCATACATTGGTACTTTTATTATACAGATCTTGAAGGCAAGACAGATCTTAAGATTCGAGCCATGGAAGAAGTAGAAGAGCTTAAAAGAGCAGACAAGCAGGTATGTCATAGTTTTTGGAGGTTTAGGAATTAAACAATGAAAATATTACTGCCATAGAGTGGTACTTGGTATTACTTCTTGATTTGAGCTGTGGTGTAAGTTACATGATCTTGATTCTATGATAACTTTTTGACTCTTGAACATGTCATTTTTTTGTTGTGATAGTCAATGCTTCTTTTGGATGCATTCAACAAAGATAGAGCTTCACTGCCTCAACACCTGTCAAATCCACCACCACTGGCACCTCTGCCTATACCTGCACTTGGTACTCATGCGCAGGAGATGATAAATGAGAAGCTAAAGAAAGCCAAAGATCTTGGTAAAGTATTTATTATCAAACTGCTTAATGATGCCTAACTTTAAAAAATTATTCTTGTATGCTAGTAAATTGATTTATGGATTGATCTATGTGAATCCCCAAGTGAGTTGTTTTTGACATTAACAATTTGATCAGTTATTGCTTTTGTTCTGTGAGTGCTTTTTGTTATGGTTACAAAGGTATTGGCTACTTGATTGAGGTATAAAACAGAGCATTTTAAGTTATTTGCCATTCAACAACAGTCCCCCCCCCCCCCCTTCCCCCCCCAAAAAAAAAAAGAAAAAAAATGATGAGTTAAATTCAGAGTATATTCCTTGAGGTTAGGATTATTTATTTATTTATTTTTGAATTCAGAGTATAGTTCTTGAGGTTAGGATTATGTTTGTTATTTTTTTGTTTGCTTAGTGTACTTTCCTAAGCTTTCTCTTTATTGTATAGGTGAGAAGGGAATGGTGGACGAAGCACAAAAAGCATTGGAAGAGGCTGAAGCACTTAAGAAGGTTTTCAATTTCTCAGTTTTGGCCTATTCTTTTTTTCTTTGAATTTTGTTTATCTTTGTTACTTCTATTTATGTCTTCATCCTTAACTCTTCTAGGCAAAATAAAAAATATTCTTTGCTGTTTCCTTTTCTTTTTGGCTCTTTTTAGGGGATAAATATCATTTTTGTGTATAATGGTTTTTCCTTTTCTGTTCAGCTGCCTGCTAGACAGGAGCATGTTCTGGATTCCTTGAAGTACACAGCTGCTGATGTCCGCATTGTGAGCCGGTTTTCTTTTCTGAACCAAACACTTAAAAGGCACTGTAGTAAACAAATGCCTATAACTTTGAAATGAACATGAAAAACTAAAGCTCACAACTTAAATGAAAATTGGAAGGTTGGTGCTGTTTGAAACCTCAGCACACAACTTGAGATGAAGTTTGGTATGAAAAACTAGGTCTTGTGCTTCCTGCCTAGAATAATTCGCATGTTTGTAAATGTAAAGATGCAGGTGCAAGCTCAGACTTCCTGAAGTCAGTTTAATACTTTGCTATAAGCAGCTTAGAATCAGAACCTTACTGGCCACAATATTTAAGTAATAAAGGTAAAGAGTTTGACACGTGTTATGGTTGCTTAATATTTATAAGGTAGATCTATGCTTGACTTCACTTTTGGATGTGAAGAAGTCTACATTCTGAGATAGATACTTTCTGTATATCAGCTTGATTTGTTGAGCTTGGTGCTGTGTGCGTTTGTGGAGAAAAATAAAGGATATCATCATTCAGGATTGCTGTTCCGTTCATTTGCTAGTGCCTTATTTCTTCCTAGTTTGTTTTACAAGCTTCTTGGATAAAGTATATGAAGAAGTCATAACATGCTATAGTGTCCTTATACTTTAGGATGAGACACATGATAGGTTCATGGACAGTTGCCTTACATGATTCCATTCAGTTCAATGATTTGAATTTCATATTGCTTTCGGTGTTTGATTGTTTTCATCTGCTGATCTGATCTAACTTTTCCTAATTAATTCTTTGAATTGCAATTTTCATCCAGACTGATCAAAAGCTTCGTGTTTGTGACATTTGTGGAGCATTTTTAAGTGTTTATGATAGGTAAATCTTGATTCTGTTTCTGCGAGCTATTATTATATTTTGGCTTGTTTTAAGACTTAGAAAAATCAGTGTTTGGGGTTTCAAGTGCTTCAGCTTTTGACCAGACTATTATACCTCCTTGTTACCAGCAGGCTTTTGGGCCCAGTTTTATGAGGATAACTTTTGCAGGTACATAATGTGCGTCTTTTTCTGTTTTACGTGCTTGTAGATTGTGCTATTGCTAGAGAATAAAACATTAAGAAGCTATTCAATGCTTGTCTCTTGTTATTTGATCTTCTCGGTCAAGTTTTTTTATTTTGCCTTTTTCCTTTCAGTGACCAACGTTTAGCAGATCATTTTGGAGGCAAGCTTCATTTAGGTTATATGCAAATCCGTGATAAACTAGCAGAGCTTCAGGTAAGATGATTTATTTACTCACTTCTGTGTAGCTTTGGGTTTCTTTTTTTGTAATACTTTCTAGTATTGAGTAGGGACTGCCAAGATGTTCTGTTCGCAAGTTTACTTGCAACTTCTTCTGACCTGAGTGTAACTGTTTTGATTTAATTACTCAAATGTTATTTGAATGCCTTTGTCTAGTGAATTGAATGAATAAATCAAATAGATGCACTTGTGCTTAGTAGAAAATATCTATTCTTTTATACATCTTGTGTTGAGATGTCGTTAGGTTGGTATTGTGAATATGTTGGTTCGGGTGCTGGTATAATGTTTCACATTCATCTATACTGATTCTCAGTTAGTGAGCCCCCTGTGAGTTTTTCTTACCTCGGAGATGAATTATACCCTCCCATTTTCAATCTTTGTGGTTATAATCTGGATACTGAACTCTGAAAACAGAGTATTTTTCCGTGGATACACCTGTGCATGTTGGACTTGGGATGCATTACATATGACATTTTGGTTAGATATGACAAATTTTGAACTCTGAAAGACTCACAATGCACCTACTTTAAGGAAACAATTAATATATGAAAGAAAAATAGGGGAGGAGGAAGCAGGTGAAGAAATTTGTAGAATTTGTATTCTACAAATCTAAAGTACAACTCTTTCGTTATGTCCCTGACTGGGACTACCAAAAATGAAACATGAGTTGCAAAATAATCTAGAATTGCATGCTCCATGTATTTTGCACTTTGGTGACATTATTAGCAATTTAGTGCTGGTTTCCAAACTAGTTTCTTTAGTTCTGTTCCTTCTTGCTACTAAGAAGATGCAGATGTTGGTGAGACGGGGCATGGGGCTTCCAGTTTTGTTGCGTAACTGATTATATGAGGCATTTGGATTAGGTTGGTATTAAGGCAGGTCGTATCCGCTATACTTTTGGTTTAATGGTTTAAGGCATAGTGTTTTATTCCTAGCATTGGAAGTTTTTTTCATGTAGTCCTTGTGGCAAGTACATAAAAATGGTTTCAGTAGCACTTTCTTGGTAATTATTGTTGTTAGGAAGAGAGAAACAACAGCCGCAAACTTGATCGATATGATGACAGAAGGTAATATATTCTTTTTTTTTTCTTTTCCTTCTGCTTTTTTTTTTCTTTTTATTTGGAAAAGGGGGCCTGGCAAGATGGTTCATTCTTCGTTCATATTGCTTTAATATTTCTATATTACTGATGAAATAGATCAAACGAACGGAGTAGAGATTGAGATAGAGAACCTAGATGGGATCGTGGCCGAGGAGATGTCGTGATCGAGGGAGGGATTATGATCGTAGGAGCAGGGATCGGGACAGGTATTATGAGCGAGATCATGGATACAATGGGGGCCATGAGAGAGATTATGAGCGCCCACGTGGTTATGATTCAAGAAGTTGTCGCAGGTCACCTTCTCGGTCTAGGGAACATTCCAGGGATTACGATCGGCACAGGTACTTGTTTTTTTATAGGTCTTATAAAGCTTATTTTCCTTTCAATTTAGGCATGAAGTCACTTGAAAGATTTTAAAACAATGATTTGGTATTCTTAAGTTAATTGACAATGAATAATCACAAGGGGCTTCTCTTTATTATTAGTTTGGATTATGATATATAAACGTTTTGATAATTATTTTTATTATCCTTAATTATTCTTTAAACCTTTTTTTTCCTATTTCAGGCATGATCGATACTTGGAAGGATATGGAATTGATGTTCTTTAGGTCAGTGGTGAAATCATGTAGGATTGGCATTAATTATGTACCTGTTCTGATGCTTGTGGCGGAGTTTGGCAGTTTCTATTTTTTTTGCTGGATGTATCTACTGCTTCAAAGACTTTCTTGGCTAATATTTGTACGAGGTATGTGTTACTTTATGTTAAAATTATCTTACTAATTAGTGCTGTGAATTTGCAGTGTTTGGCCCAAATATTTTCAACTGCCTTTATTCCCCCTTTCTCTTTGGTCGAGGAAAAAATAAGTGGAAATTTAAGTGTACAGGTGCTTAGACGATAGATTTTTGAAGTTTAATTAATTGATTTCTTGTCATGCTTTAACAACCCTCTCTCCTCCGGACGTTAAAGAAAAGTCAAAATATAAAGTGGTTGATCCAGTTTCGATGAAATGTTTGGAAATTAGCAGCCTGATCCATTTTTATTTTGTTTTTTTTTTCTCTTGCTGTCATTTAAGCAGATGCTCTGTATAATCAGAAAATGGAACAAGTGTTTGTCAAACATAGGTATACAAAGAAATTTGGTGATTGGACACAATCCGTTATTGCATCAAATTGGCTTTGTATCAAATTCCAGTGGGTTATTGCATGATCCAAAATTGACATTCAAAATCCGGCTCTGGCTGTGTGAAATTAGGTTGCATTCAATGGAAGGGGATTGCGTTTGCAAATGCCCTTCAGGAATACGGATGATACAAGGTAGACTTTTTTCTTTCTTTGGCCAAGCAAGCGTCAAGATAGCTTTGTTCCTTTGGTTTGGTAACTAGATGTGATTAATGGATTGCTCGGTAAAGCAGAATTTTTTTTTTGTCCTTCCCTGCACCCAAACGATAAGTTTATTTTTAGCAAATGGGAAGATTTGAATCAAGGTGGAATTTCACTAGCTGCTGCTGACTCTTGCATTTCCAAATTTTTATATCTTAAAAGACCTTTACAACAAGAGCAATCACTTGAACACAATAAGGGGCATATGGTTCGGGGCAAGTAATTTTCTTTTTTGAATTTTTTTGTAATTTAATTTCTTAGTTTGGTTAATATGAATGTGATTACTGAGTTTTTAAGATTTTCAACAGTTCCATGAAGTAGAAAAGTATGGGGAACAAAAAAACTCTTTTTTTTAGGTTTTTTAAGATTTTGGAGTAAAAGTGAATTTTCTCATTTGCTCTCAATTGTATTTTAAGATTATATAAACAATGTTATTTACTTTATAAATGTTATAATTTTTATAAAATATTATGAAAATATTTTTTTCTTAATAGATTTTAAATAAAGATAACGTTTTTAACACAATGTTATTGAAATCCTAACAAAAGTTATGATTAAAATCGTGATTTTTGTTAAAAATATGAAAAAACTAGTTAGTTTTCATAATTTAGTAAAGATAATGTTTTTAAGTAAAAACATGATTTTTATTAAAAGTATGAAAAGATTAAGTTTTAAAATTTAACAAAGACGATATTTTAATATTAAAAAACAAAAAAATAACATCATCTTTGTTGAAAAGATAATATTTCAAGATAAAAGCACATTTTTTTTTGTAAACATGAAAAATTATTTTTTAAAATTTAACAAAACTGATGTTTCTAAAATAAAAAAATGTAATTTTTATTGAAAACAATAATATTTTCTAAAATAAAAATGTAATTTTTATGGAAAACAAAAAAAAAATTTCAGAAATCAATAAAGACAAATATTTCTAAGATAAAAAATGTAGTTTTTATTGAAAACATGAAAAGAAAAATTATAGTTTTCAAATTTTAATAAAGACAACTATTTTAAAATAAAAACTTAGTTTTAACCAACTTTAGAGAGAGTATGTGGATAATAGGTACTTGAGCTAAAAATCTCTTTAGTTAATATTCGTGAAAATGATATCTTGATCTTTGTAAACATAAAAAATTTTTTTTTATAATTTAATAAAAACGACGTTTTTAAAATAAAAAAACATAATCTTTATTGAAAAAGATAATTTTTCTAAAATAAAAACATAATTTTTATTGAAAATAAAAAAAATATATTTTTACAGAAATCAACAAAGACAAATGTTTGTAAGATAGAAAATGTAGTATTTATTGAAAACATGAAAAAAAATTATAGTTTTCAAAATTTAATAAACAATTCTAAAATAAAAACATAGTTTTAATCAACTTTAGAGAGAATATGGGTATAATAAGGACTTAGGTTAAGAATCTTTTTAGCTAATATTTGTGAGAATGATATCTTAACCTTTGGTCACTATTACTTGAACAACTTGTGCACTTGCATAATAGCTCAATCAACCATATTATTGAAAATATAAATAGAGATATTTATTTCTAAATAATTTGAATCAAGAGAAAATTTCATTCATTCCAAAAATTCCAATTCTATCCATTATCAACCATTCTAGAACTAAGGCCATAGAAGTGTCGGATTTGCTCATACTACTCTTTTGCCTAGTCTAAGAAATCCAAAAAAAGTTGGCTATGGTTGCTGGTGAGAATGACCCTTTGCCTTAGAGCTTTTACTTTTTTTTCACTCATTACCGGGCCTGTTTGGCTACCTTATGAGTCTGGGTGCTCAAGTGGTCGATGTATGTTTATTTTCCTTGGCTTTTGACCTTCCATTATTTTTGAGTTTCCTATTAATAGAGGAACCCACTTACAATTCTTGAAATGCCATGAAAGTTTCTCTTGATAAATTATATCTAAAATGAATGTCTCCAATGCCTTATGTAAAAAATGATACATGAAACAAATAAGAGAAAGGAAACATGAAAACGTAGAAAATAAGTAAAAGGAAAACTTTAAAATGCACATGCAATGCAAAAAAAAAGTGAGTTAATGTTCTAAACAAATTTTAGTTTTTCTTCTCTCTTTTTCTTTTTTTTTTTCCTTTTTTTTTTTTCCTTGGAACAAAAAGATTGTTATTCCTAATGACTTTTTCTCTCTCTTTCTTTCTCTCTCTCTCTCTCTCTCTCTTTTTAATTAAAAACAACATAAGCAAATTATCAAAGAATCAAATGAGAAGGGTAAGGGGTGGTGAGATATGAAATGTAATGCATGTTTTATAAAATTATAGTATTTATGAATCCATATGCATGAAATGCAATGTTATACTACATGAGTAATGGTGTATACCTAATACTTATATGAAATGTACTAGCACATTATATGCATGAGATATATTTACATGAAATGCAATTAATGTGTTATGCAAACCCAATGTAATTAACACTACCTTAAGCTATGCAATGAGATGGAATGCATGTACTAACTATTGAGATATGCATGAGATGGAGTGCATGTAGTATTTATTATGGTGTGTATAAAATGAAATGCATATACTATCTATTTAGATGTGCATGACATGGGGTGCATGTACTATCTTAGTAGGATGTGCATGAGATATGGTGTATGTATTATCTTATTATGATATGCATAAAATGGGGTACATGTATTATCTTTATAATATGCATGAGATGTGGTGTATGTATTATCTTATTATATAAAAAAGATGATAAAAAAGTATGAAAAAAAGATAAAATGAGATGCAAAAAATGAAACAACATTTAAAATCAAACTCTATTTTTCTCTTTTTTTTTTTAGAAAGAGAAAAAGTTCAGAACATTTTTTTTAAGAAATCACAAAGAAGGATTAAGATTCAAACATTTTTTTTGTTTTTATTTTTTTATTCGGCCAATAAACAAAAAATTTAAGAAAAACTTTTTTTTGGTTTTTTTTTCTTTGGAAAATTTTTTGTAGGATAATGCTAAAAAGAATTTATTTTGTTTTATTTTAAAGCAATTCTTGAAGATGCCAAATTTGGACAAACATCAAATGAATGAACTATATGTCAAATGAAAATTTCTTGAAAGAATGTTTTTCTTCTATTATTTATTCCTATTTTTCTTCAAAAATTTAGTTTTGTTTGCATCATTATTACCCCTAAATGCATATTATATCAAAGTATTCCTTACATATCCTACTTTGGGTAATTTTTACAAATAATGCATGGCATGGCTCTACCTAGGGCTGGCTGTTTAAAGCTACTATATGTTGGATTGGGAATTAACGCATCTAAAAGTTCCTAAATTGTTTTTTACATCATCATCTATAACAGACTAATGAGGTACCTCGATACATCATCAATTACAAGCTTTCAATGAAAAGGGTTCAATTTGAGTGAAAGTGTTTCATTAGCCATTGCAGAGGTTTGCACTTCACGAGAGCGTAACTACTTCCTCCTAACAAGGGTTATAGCTTAGGTATAGAGCTTATGCATGTAATGCAGATGTGAGTGTGTGTAAAAAAACATACAAACCTTTCACATTTTTTTAAAAATATTCCTATCCTAAATGCCTTACAATTATTAAAACAAAGTAAATAACAACATTTTATAATAAATAACATAATTAAAATATGCTTGAAATGTAAGACACACATACTTTTTTTGAATTTTATGCTTTTTGAAAACAAGAGAATTAAAGTCAAAACATTTTTCATTTCTTTCACAATTTTTTACTTTTTTCAATTTTTTCAATTTTTTTGGGAAAACAGGAAAATTAAAATGAAAGAATTAAGATTAAACTCTAACTAGGACTATTAAACCAAAATTTGGAATAACATGCAGCCAATATTTGGCTTGAATTTTTAAACATGTATCTCCAATGAAGTCACCAAGTTGTCACAAGGTGCAGATTCGAAAACTCGACCACTGAACATGGAGAGTAAAAAAGGGTTAAACAAGCATTTTTAATAAAAATCAAAACTAAAGACTCATCACTAATCTTTTTTAGGATGTGATTGACCACAAAAATTTTTATCCTTTTAATAAAACATTAAAATAGGTTTAATGTTTATTAAAAAAACATTTTATAGTTTGCAAAATCGGAATTGGGTCCGAGAGTCAATTATGCGTATGGAATGATTAGCACCCCCAAAACGCTCATTAAAAATGGTACCAATTGATTGCATGTTATCCTTAAATTTTAGTGAAAATGGTCCCATTTTAGTGTTTAGAGGTCAATTCCTTCCATTTATTTATTCCAAAATTTGAATTTTTTTTTTTTAAAAGCAAATCAATTTTTTCTTTTTGAAAAACAAAGTATTTTATTTTTGGACCAAAATGAAAAGTCTTAACTATCAAAACATTTTTTCCATTCTTCTATATTTAGGTAGAACTTCAAAAATACCTTTAACTTAGGAGTTTTCAAATTATTCCACAAAATTGAGAAATCACTTTACATAAATAATAACCATTGAGAGTCCCCATATAATTAGGCTAGATCTCAAAGACTATATTTGTTTGAGATGTTATCTTATTTTTAAAATAGTTTTATTTAAAAACTCTTTTATAAAACATATGCATGGTATGCAAGAACATAATAATAATATGAATGCATAATAATTAAACATGAATAACAAAATATGAATGCATGACAATTTAAGAATGCGTGTAACAATATGGTAAAATAAGATGCAAATACATGAATAGGGTCAAAGGTTGTTATGGATTGAGTTGTTCAGTTTGGGTATGAAAGTTAAGTATATTTGTTTGGTTGTTAAGAGTTTTGGTTTAGATTTGGTTCTAAAGTTTGATTAATGGTTTAGGTTTAAGTTATAGTTTGAGATTTAGTTTAGATTTAGGTTAGGTTAGGTTTGAATATTTTATTAATGGCTTAGTTAACTTTAGGGTTTACGATTTAAGGTTTAGGTTTGAGGTTTCAATTTGGGGTTTGGGATTTAGGATTTAGGTTTAGGGTTAGGTTTGGGTTTCGATCTAGGATTTGGGATTTAGGTTTAGAGTTTCAGTTTAAGGTTTAGGCTTGGAGTTTGAGTGGAAAATGCAAGTGGCAAAAATAAATAACAAGAATGCCATTGAAAAAAATATAAATTTTGATGCATGAAAAATACATGATAGTGAAATAAACTTATTACAAATTTAGGTATATTTAGAAATATATTACAAACCAGACATGTATGTAAAAATATGATAAAAGTTGATCAAACACAATGGGTTTTAAAAATTTAAAGACATGTTCCACAATTTTTTTGTCTTGAATTAAAACACATGCAAACAACATAAAATCATTAAAAAGTCTACTAATCTAACATCCGTACTCATTAAGAATTTGATCAAACACATAGAAAA